GGACAGAAAGGTAGACGTGGCAGTGGAAGGTGTCAAAGCAGTTTGGAGAGAAAAACAAAGTAAAGAACAAAAAAAACCCCAAAAGACAATTAATCGATTATTAAATTAGTCATCGATTATTTTACTAATCGATTAGTCGTCGATTAATCAACTAATCGTGGCAGCCCTACTCATAAACAAAGTGATGTGGCAAAAACATTTTTTGGATTTTGTTTAAAGGCCCAATAAACATGTCAGTTCTAAAAAATGTGAATTTTCTGACTATTTTTTAAAGAGTTGAGCTTTTCAGGGTTAAGGAAGATGCGCTGAGGTCTGTATATTATTTTTATCTGGGAGTCACCAGCTCACTGAGTCTGGCGCGTCTCGTGTTCACTCACCGCCACCACCTCCCTCTTGCGGGGGTCGCAGACACGCAGACGTCGATCCTTACAGGTGGTGCAAAACAAGCTGCCGTTGCGGTTCCAGCTGATGCTGTAGATGAGGTCCGGGTGGTCGTCCATGGAGATGAGAGGTTCTCCTGTTCCCACGTTCCAGATGATGATCAGGTTATCGCTGCCTGGAGTGTGGTGAGGGTCACAGGAAACGTCGATGTCAAAACAGGAAACGGGAAGGTTTTTTTTTTTATGTGTGTGTGTGTTAATGATCTCTACCGGCTGTGAGGAGGATGTTGCGTGCTGTGGGGTGCCAGCTGACGATGCCGACTCGTTTGGAGTGTCCCTCCAGAACAACGATGGGATCAGACAGTGGACGGACCAATGTGTGGTCTGGGATCTGCCACACCTGTAGAGGACACACACATATTGTGTTATCTGTCTTTTTATTGTACTGCAGGTGTGTTTTCTGTTTATTTTGCTGTTATGTTGTACGGATTGTTTGTAAATTCCATGGATTTGGACAGGTAGACCAGTCTCAGATTTTTGAAAATCTCCACTTCAAATTTATTTTACATTTCGGAGACTGTAGGAAGGAAAAAAGAGAAGAAAAACTAATGCATAAAATTAAATAACCATCTCCCAGCTGCCTCTCCCTGCCTCTTTTCCCTGCTCCTCGACAGCATACTGTAATACCAACAAATTGATCAAATATCTCAATTTCATTAGTAATTTAGTAGAATTAATTTTTTTCACAAGTTGGCAAAAGTTGTCTAAAATATTATATTGTGACAGGTCCTCTAGCAGGTTTTTGATCATAAAATTACAC